CAGCACCGGATGAATCATGTGTGAAATGCTCAAGGAAAAGCATTGCTATTTCATAATTTGAGGAGGAGTGGTTGCCAATTGGAAGGTTTCTCAAGCCTTGTTTTCCCCGAATGCTCTTAATTGCACGCCACACCTTGGAAGAGGGTGTGGTGCTCCCCAGGGACTCAGTGAATTTCTTCCAGCTTTCTTTTTTCTTTTTCAGGGCAATATGTTTTGCTATTGCGACACAATGTTTGTAGCGTATCAGGTTTAGGGGAGTTGGATGGCTCCATAGAAGGTTCTTTGCTCTTTTCCTTTCTTCAACAGCAGCCTTGCACTCTTCATCCCACCATGGGGTTATTCGGTGGCATTTTCTGTTGCAGCTTGTCTTTGGGATGCAGTCATTTGCAATGCTGATGATTTTTTGGGTTATGCACTTGTTGAGAGTTCCCACATCAAGAGGAGCAGGCATTTTGCTTAAGAGTATGGTGCTTTGGAGGAACAGAGCAGTCCACTTTCTCCAGTTGGCGCGTTTCAAGGCCCAGTTTATCCGGGAATCTATGCTGCGCTTGTCACACCCAAAGCCAAATGTAATTTCCAGAGGGAAATGGTCACTACCAATGTCACTGCCCTGATGAAGCTCCCCAAGGGTGCCCAAATTGTGAGTTGCTATGCAGAGGTCAAGACAAGAAGTTGTAGCAGAACGGTTGTCAATGTATGTAGGGGTGTCCGCATCATTAAGCAATATAAGATTGTGGAGCTCCAGCAATCTTTCAATACTTCTGCCTGTGAAGTTGGACCTGTTGCGAGAGTCCCATAGTGGTGAGTGTCCATTGAAGTCTCCGATGAGGAGAAAACTGTTTCCAAGCTGATTAGTGTAATGTTGTAACTCCTGTATGGATATATTTTTGCAAGGGTTATAGGCATTTAAAATATTAATCCTGCTGAAGTTGGTGAATATTTCTATGGCCTGGCACTCAAGGGAGCCAGCCGGAAAGGGAATCATTTGCTTAGGTTTATATATGACGTCTTCCCTTATTAAAATTCCAAGGCCTCCCTTTTCTCTGATTCTATGTGCCCAAAGTGACTGGTATCCAAGGAATTTGGGTTCATTTTTCTTCAGCCATGTTTCACTCAAACAGACCAGATCTGGCTTTCTTGTGTATATATGGATCTTGAGTTCTGAAACTTTTCCCTTAAGACCATTGCAGTTCAGTTGGTAGATTTCAAGCTGGGACTCTAATTCAGTTGCTCGTTGTATGGAATTAATATTTTTGGTTGCCATTTAAATTTTCTTTTTCTTCAAACTCCTGGTTGACTTATTCTGTTGCTTGTGAGTGAGTTGTGATTCTTCTTTCTCAGGGCGGAGTGCATTCTTGTATGATTTTAATTTAGGATTAGTCTCTTTTTTGTTACGGTTATCTGTGGTTGAGTCAGAGTTGCCAGGCTGGGTGGGTGTGCAAGCTTCTATCAGACAGTCTGCACTAGCTGAAACTGCATTGGTATTCCTGGAGTGAAACTCTTCCAGCAACACTTCAGCAACACCACTACCAAAGTGCTTTCTGGTTGCGCTGATGGTCAGTAATTCCTTTTCTTTCTTGTTCTCTTTTGTGAGGTCAGTAAGAATGATTTCTTTTAAAAACTTACAAATAGATATGCTTAGTTTCTGGATTTCATTTTTTATAAAGCTGGTTAGCATCTCCATGGCCTCGACTGAAGGTGGTTGTTCAGAGGTTACATGAGTAGGACTTGTATTGAGGTTGTGTCTCCTTGAAGACTGGGCCACTTGGCTGTAGGTGTTCTCTTCTGTTGATGTAGCTGGTGGGGAGGGCAAGCTGCTGTAGTGAGTGCCTTGGGATCTATGCACATCTGCTTGAATTGTAGTTGTCTGGAAAGAATGTTCTTTTGGTGCACCTGGTTGTTGTGATGGTTGTTGTGACAAATTTCTTGTTGACTGGCTGCTTTGGTTCTCATTGGTGTAGTCTTTTGAGAGTGGACTTCTATACATCAAGTCTGTTTGCCTTCTGGCAGCATCATAGGGCATGCCATCTCTTGTCAGTGAGTCTATTGCCTTAGCTTGAATGTTGTATAGACACTCTCTATGGCTGGCAATATGAGGCCCTCCACAATTAGCACATTTATATGTTGTTGATGTGCATACTTCTTTGGAATGGTTTCCTGCGCAGAGCAGGCAGCGCACGGGTGCTGTGCATCCACTGGAGAGGTATCTTGGTTTTTGACATCTGTAGCATCTGAGTGGGGGTGGGTTGTAGACTCTAACTTTGTATGCAATGAAGCCAAAGAGGACTTTTTCTGGGAGGTGCTTTCCTTCAAAATCCCCTTTTAGGACCATGGACTCTTCTTTCAGTGATCCAGAAAATTTTGGCAGTCTGGTTATCTTGATTATTTTGCAGGGTTGTTTCTGAAGGTCTAAGAGCTCTTCTAGGTTGACGTCCAGACCCACTGGTCCAATGACACCCGAGCACGAGTTGATGAGATCCAATGTTGGTCTGTAACATTTTACTTGCCAGTTCCCAAGCTTGGTTATTGAAAGGAGTTTTTCTTCTTCCTGTTTTCCAGATGGTTTGAATTCCACTGCAACAATATTGCGCCTCTTGTTAATGCGGACATCATGGATTGAGGAATCATGGATTACTTTTTGTAGTTCTCTTGCCACTGAGATGGGGTCCAATGAGATTTTTCTTGTATCCGGAGACAGTTGTTTGATTATCACCGTGTTGTTGTTTCCAGATGATTTGTCAGTTGCGTTGGTTGGAAATGATTTATATTGTGTTCGTTTGGCAGACAATCTAGGAGCTTTAATGGTGTTAGCGTTAGCAGGAGTAGCTGTTGGTTGGATCAAGCTGTCTGATTCTTGTTCAGATTCAGTGCCAATCTGCCGCTTGTGCCTTCTAGGATTAGGGGACCCTTCTTGTATGTCCATGCTTGACCTAGTTGTTCCATTGTTTTCTAGCACCTTAGTCTTGGGTCGATGGCCAGTGATGTCTTCATCTGAAGATGCTTGGAGTCCAGATTGCAGGAGAGGGCCAGCAGGATCTTGTGTTGGAGTTTCCGGGACAATGTTCTCAATTCTCATCATCACTGTTAGGCATGTCAGACTCTGACTCTGCCATTATCATTTTGCATTTATTACCTTCAATCACAATTCACAAGTAGCAACTTACACAGTTATACAAAAAAAAAATGGAATAAATGCTAAGCTAATATAAATAATAAATATAATGTAGCAAATAGTTAAAGAAAAATGTATAATTTTTTTTTCAATAGTGGTACAGAGATGAAATATAGGCTTATATGAATAAAACAAGTTTACGCAGCAAATGGTACAGCATAAATAAAGTCAAAATAATATTGATGTTGATAGCCTACCCTAGTACCTAAATACGTACTCTAGTTATATTACCAAATTTCAAACCTCAATTCAAAACTATGCAGGAATTCTAACTGATTGCACTTGGGACACAAAATATACACATACACTTGACACACTACACAGTACTATATGTAAAGATATAAATGCAAAAAAAAAATAAATACGTAAATAAATAAATCACAGTGACAAGTTGTTTAATGATGTGGCCAGGGTTTCATGAAAAATAATATAACTTTAATATGCAAGAGATGATAATAGTGAACTAAAATGATGGGATTTTAACTACCGTACCTACCTAATTCAAACCTTGGCTGGCCCACAAACCTACTCCTACCTACTACCTCTTCTCGTGGAGAGAAGAGGAAGGGGGAGGGGCGAGAAAGCCAGCCGGGTTCTTGACTCTGGACGGGACCCTCGCTAAATATACTCGAGGTATATATAGAAGTGCAGTCCAAGATCAAGTTAAACGTAAATTATCAATTGTTACTTGCCGGTTAACTTTACGCAATCAAGGGCGATAGACACTAGAGTTGTTCACTCGATGAACGCAGCTGACTCTCTCCCGCATGGAATGCTCCTCGTTCTATTACAAGCAACCCATTTTGGTCGGGGAAAGATTTTAAATTTAAGTTGTTAATTCCCACATGTGGTATTTGTATTTAGTCAACTAATGGTTAGTAAAGTTACCTTTAGGATTTAGATAGACTATCAAATTTTAAAGAGCATATTGATTGAAATTATCACGTCTGCTTTTTATATAGTTGGTTTTGGAGGCTTCCAGTGCTTGTGCACTGCCCAGCCTGGTCTCTGTCACTCATTTGATGAAAGACTATGCACCGTGCAAAGGGGCTCAATGTCCCAAGTACCTTATATGCAGCATGCACCCAACATCCAGACAATTGAATAGTTCCTCCTTTCAGTTGGTGGTTATGGTTCGGTAGCGCAAGCCGCGAAGGAATGAGCCTCTGCTGCAGTGTTGCCAGGTTTTTCTTGGCGAGAATACCAGATTGCCCAGCTCAAAATACCAGAAATTTTATCGTTCAAAAACAGACTAATACCTGCAAATTTAATAAAACTATTCGTCAGAAACGTTGGTTAGAAAAAAAAGGGCAGGGTGGCCCAGTGGTTAAAGTTCAGAGTACCATGATTGGAGCAGAGAGGCGCGGGTTCGATCCCAGCTCTGTGCCGACTGTGCGCCAGTTTATGATCAGAATCGGCAAGGAGGCCGGGCGGTTAAGCAAAGCAAAATTGAAGCAGTGAGCTGCGAGTTCGAGACCGCAAGAAGCTGTGGATGTTCTGCGATGTTAAGAATCGGCGACAGGCCTACGGCCTACTAACGCTGAAACCGCTATAAAATAACTAGTTTTTCTGTGTGTAGTAGATTTGTTAGAGACCAGTTGAGAGCCTCATCAAAAGTTGTCCTAAAAGTGTTAATTATCGAATTTTGCAGAAATTTGATCAATTTCAGATGTGGTTTATCGCAGACAAAACTTTATTTAAAATGAAAAGTCGTGGACAAGATGCAAATTCCGAAATGAGGTAGTTTGCTTACTTTCATTTTATATCCTCTCTATTGTACTTACTTATTCCAAGTTTCCATAATGACGGGATACAAGCTCTAGAAAAAATGTTTGGCGAAGGTATCATTGAGAAAGAATCGTGATTTGATCAAATTAAAATTTGATGACAATATTTTCCTTGAATTTTCAATTGTGCTGTTCGTTTTTGATAACCTAGTATATATACTTATATTTTGATTGACTAGTTTTTTGATGCTTGAAAAAATGTATGAAAGAATTTCTAAATAACAAATTTTTTAATCAATCCTAATTTGTTTAATTTTTGATGTATGCAGGCGACAGTGCCGGTGGTGGCGTGATGCTACGAGATCTTCATTGCTTCTTCCCTGGCGACCTGAACTCGTTCACCCGCAAGCCGCTGTTCGTGCTAGTCGACTCTGACAACAGCAGCGTCTTTGGCAACCTTGCTCCCATGTTTGGCCAGCGTCTGACTCCGACAACAGCAGCGTCTTTGGCAACCTTGCTCCCATGTTTGGCCAGCGTCTGACTCTGACAACAGCAGCGTCTTTGGCAACCTTGCTCCCATGTTTGGCCAGCGTCTGACTCTGACAACAGCAGCGTCTTTGGCAACCTTGCTCCCATGTTTGGCCAGCCGCTCGTGCTGCTAATGTCGCCACAGGACTCGCCCCATCATTTCCATGGTAGCTCACTCAGCAAAGTGACGAACGAAAGAAATTTTTTGAAAACTTCCTCATTGAATAAATTTGAGTCCTATAAGTAGAATCAATCATTAAGTTTCATGTACAATCGGCATTAAAATGCATATGGTATTGAATGAAATCTTGAAGTAAGCAAGGAAGCCAGAAACGAACTGTTTGCTAAAAAAAATCTCGTTTGCTACAAGCCTGCCTGGATTTTTATTTGGGCTTCCCTACTCGAAATCTTCTCTGTTTATTTTCATGTCCCCTCAGAGGGGACTTTTGACGTGTGTCTATGCTCGTCAGAAGTCCAATGCGATTTCATGTTTACCGTGGCATTATTCTTGGGGCTCACAATTTCCGATTGCGTTTCTCGGTTGTGGGGTTAATATTTAATATGTAATAGTTAATATGTAGGATTCCTTACATTTCCCGTCTCTGTCTCTTTCGCGCGGGCGGCCGGTGTCCCGTGTAAGCGACCTCTTGTTCGAGTGCCTTAGTTTTTGTTGCTTTTCACCATTCACATTTCACACCATTGCTATCGTTATACTCACTAACATAATTCTTGGGCATGCAGAAGAGCACCAGCGGGGTAATCTGTTCACTCTGTTCCTACACTGCCCCCTCATGGGGCTGTGTCTGGTGAGCTCGGTGTGTGACGTTCCTATGTTACTCTGGGAGAAATGCCAGGCCCTCGTCGACCGCTTCATTGCTGAGGCGTCTAGGCTTGTTAGCAGATCGCGCAATAATGGTGAGTTTGTAGCAACGATGCAACGTCCGCCCTGGAATTTCATTTGTTTTCATACGTATGTTCTGTCATAGAAATACCGCTACATTGTGTGGTGTTGTTTGGATGGGATATGATCAGTGGAATGTACATATCTGTTAAAAATATTTAATATTTTTAACCACCGTTGCTTGGTTCCGAGTAATCTTAATGTTTTCTCAATTGTTTTGCAGATCCTGCTTACATTCAGTTCTTCAGTGACGACTTCTTGAGGTTGCTTACATTGCGATTCACTTTCTGCGCGACCGTCCTGAGAGCTCACCGAGCGTTCAAGGTCTCAAATTAATCAAAAATTCTATCTATCTTTTCATCATCAGTGAAGAATACTAGCATGTACAATTTATGAATACTGCTCTCGTTTGGATCTTGATATAGGTATTATATCCATAACCGTTTGAGGCGCTTGATATCAACCTCATTTTGTAAAATAATTGGTATAGAGTCCATTAACATCAATAAATGCCTCTAGTTTTCTGTTGATACATTGATCTATTAACTTTGACATGCAATTACTTAAAGTGAGAATTTTGTACAATATTTGTGTGGTTATGTATATTATATGTGCGTGCGGGATTTCTGAATTTTTTATTTTTATTTATGTGTTGTGACAGGGAGGCAGCCAGTACCCGCGCTGCTCCCCTAGCCTGCCTGAAGGAGAGGTTCTGGGCCACCCGGCGCTGCACTCCCTCGTGCTGGAGATCGCCACAGGGCTCGAGGTGGCGCATCTCTTCAACGACGCCCACGTCGACAACAGCAACACGAGCGCCCCTCAGCGCCACGACTGACGCTGCTGACCGTCTCTTGTAAAATATTTTAACTGAAATACAAAAGACCAAGAGAATGAAAGCAAACAGAGATCAGTAGCTGCCGAAAAATTATTTTCTACTTTTGAGTCCACATGAAAAACGTGGTCTTTAAAAATTTTTTTTAAACATTCTATTTTAGCTTTATCTTTCGTCCTCCTAATAACTGCTGCTGACCGTCTCTCAAACCCCCTGCTTTCTACAACAACAACTGGTGCCTTATGTTAGCTTCACCTTGCACGCTCCTAATATTATTTTGTCCTTCGTATGCAGCTTTGTACTTCAGGACACGTTATTTGTACTAAGCGGATTTTTTCTTATTGACTCGCCTTCTCTAAAGCAGAAATGTCTGTTTCTTGTGGGCATGTCGTGGGCATAATCATGTTGTGGGCATTAATTTTTATCAAACAACTGGCAAATTCAGTAAATACTTTTTATAGTTGCGTATTTCTTTTTTTTTTAATTTTTCATTTTATATATGTCTTCATTCGATTTTATTTTTATCCTCTTTTATTTTGCATGATACCTATTTTGTTTGCAATACGCTAACTACTATTTACTTTTTATTATTTACTTTCGTTTATTTTTTATTTCTACAATATTACGTAACGGAATAAAATGCATTTTTAATAATTGCCCGTACAAAATATCGCCGCTTAGAAAGTAAATTTAGTTATATTACTATAAGTGGAACAGGTCGCAATTATAGAGGTCTCAAAACAAATAAGACTGAACCGCACATAATCTTTTGGACATAGAAACTAGCGAGTTGTCTGGAATAGAGAATGATTTATTCGCAAATGCTATGACTTGAAAAGATTTACTACATGCTAGAATGTTCCACCTTTACGGACATACTAATTTAAAAACAGAGATCTATTCTTTAGGTCAATTACTCAGACTCAACTACTTAGTTCACCGTCTTGTAATGTCATGTGACACAATATAGGTTCTTCTCTCATTTCAAATACCCAACCATCAATAAATGAAACCCTGTATTTTTTTAATAAATCTTGGTCGTATCTAACAGTTTTAAATGGCTATGAGTTTTCAACTTATTACCATAAAGTGGTAATAAGTGAAATTTCTAATACCTTGATGGTAATACGCTGTAACTCATTACCATCAAGTAACTGTGTTTATTTAGAGCATAAGTCACAGTCACTATTAACATCCCTTCGGCTCAGGTACAACAACGAACACGGACTTGATAAAGGCAACAGGAATGATGAGGGTGGAGCATGTGGAGGCGCATCACCACTTCTGTCCAACATCTTCATGGGGGAGGTGACGAAACTCTCTGACTGGTTTGGGTCTCTGTGGGTGAAACAATCGGACGGCATCAGCAAGGTCATGCACTACGCAGCTAATGAGGTCACCCAAGTACGTGTAACATTTGTGGACAAAATTTATTTTCTGAGCTGTAAGTAGTTGGTGTTCTAATAATAGGTTGGAATATTTTAGGCTAGATATTGTATTTTAGTTACATCTGTTTGGCAATTTTGATTTTTCGATTTATGAGAGTGTTGGAGTTGAAAGAATGATCTCTTTACTGAATTATGTTGATTCAAATTAATTTATATTTAAGAAAATTATTGCGCTGATAAATGTCGTCAGTTGGCCGTTTCTTTGAAGGTTAGCGTACGCGGTCGTATGACAAAAGACGGTCTTACCTCGAAGAGAAACATTCAAGTGCTCACCACTCACCAGGCGTCAACGACCTTCCAACAGCAGGACTTGTCTTCCAGCACGTGCCCCGTGACGGCGGATGCAGGTGACCACGTTTTGCCCAGCATCACATGGAGCCCTTTGCCCCCAGGACGCACTACGGCTGCTGCTGCGCAGTCATTTTGCGTTACTCTCTACTGTGATGATAACCTGGACGACATGTCGGACGTCACTGCCAAGCTCGCTGCTTCCGCTAAAACTAAAGCGCCTGTAGAAGCAACGGTAGGGCTCGTCAGCAACTGTGATGTGGTTCATGACGGTACCCGCAATACCGTTGACGCCGTCAGGAAAGATTCTGGAGGGAAGCTCACCGACATTAAAACCTACGATGTTCAGGGAGCTGCGGCTGGTGCAGTTGCGTCCACTGCTGTCCCGCGTGGCGTCTTCTCAATATCAGACCGCCTCCCCAGGACAGTTCCATCGGACGCGGTCGTTACGTGCGGCAATGGGCCAATGAATTCCATTAACACTATCATGGGCTTGAACACTGCAGGACTTGACGTCAACATCTACCCGCCGTTAAATTCTAGTTCTGATGGTCTTATGAACCATCTTCCCCCTTCTCCTCCGCTGCTCCAGCACCCACCCGTCCCGCAAATGTCTCCTCCTATCCTGCACTCTCCTCAAATCCATCATCACGTCTCGCGTGATGTTCTCCAGTCTCCCTCGTTGCCAGAAGCCTGTCATGGTCCACCAGACATCACCCATTCACCTCTACACATCACCCACACACCTTACTCATCCGCCCTCCTCTCACCACGCGCCGCATCATATCTTTGCTCCTAATCTTTCCTCGGCATCTGCCTTCAGCCCTCTCAGCAGTGAGCGACAGTCTCACGGATTAACCTTGAAACATCAAATGCCATCCTCAAAGCATCAAGAGCTTCTCGCATCTCACTCGCCCATGGCTCAGAATGCCCGCTCCTCGCGTCGCATCAACAAAGAATCGCATAAAAATTATCGCTGCTGACCAGGGGTCGACATTGCGTCGATGAACACCCCCACAAACGCTCCAGACGCGTCTCTTACTGCTCATTTACCTCCTTGTTACAAGTACGTCAGTGAGCGAGACAGAACCATCGCGTCCGTCTACACTGCAGGGGTCTCCAAACTTGTGCGTGCCACATTATATATTTCCCATACTTATGCGGGCCAAAGGCATAAAAAAAACAGAAAAAAATCAGTGACAGTAATTTTATTTACTCAAATATTAGAGTATAAAAATGTCAAACATAAAACATATATTTTTGGCAAGAAATCAGGGTAAACTTAATAGATGCCATTCTTTAGTTTTATCTAACCAAATTAGTGTGACGAATGATGCTGTCGTTTTGATTTAAAATTTTCATTAAAATCTGGTTCCAGATTCGACGAGCCAATTGTAAGAATTGATTTCAAGTGATCATCAGACAAATTTGCTCGATATTTATATTTCACATACTTCATTTTGGAAAATGTTTGTTCACACAAGTATGTTGAACCAAAAATGGACACAAAACTATAAGCACTTTATCAAATTTAGAAATTGATCTGGCTAAAGGCATTTATAAAACTCAATCAGATTTCCTTCTCTATATTTATCCTTCAGTCTGTCATCTGCCCGGAGATCAATAATTTCTATTGGAAATTGAGTTAGAAGATTTTCAGCTTTGCAGTCAAATGGATTATGAAAGAGCCTGATTTCATTTGCTTTGGCATCAAGGTCAGCAAATCGTTTCTAAAACTGTTTTTTTCAAATCTGAAATTATTTCATTTGCAATAGTATTATTGCTATTTTGTATAACTAAGATAAAGATATTGTATATGTACAGAGAAAAGAATATTGTGCAGTGATGTGCTGCCTGGAACGGAAGCAGCGAAGCCCCATACTCGGCCTTGGCTCTATCCCCCAATACCGGTATATAGTTATACACAACTGACTGGTTGTAATGTACAACACATACCTACCAGTATTAGTATCTACGTCACACTATCGAGAGAGAGGAAAACTGACGCGGGCTAAGCACCACCAGTCAGCAGGCCCCAGCTTTGAATAATTCTGCGATGACATTCGTACAATAATTATTTATTCATTTCGCGATTTCATACGGCGGGCCGGATGAAATTATGTGGCGGGCCGCATGTGGCCCGCGGGCCATAGTTTGGAGACTAACGAGGATGCGGCGCGTCTGAGGAAAAAGCCTAGGGCATCAGAAGTTCCCGTCAGCCATAGTTTTGTATCTGATAACTTTGAAAACTCTGGACCTTATTCCACCAAACTCTACTCGGAGAGGTTCACGGAACCAACTACACACGAAAATCATGCTGCAGTTGATACTAGCAGCGATCACGTCAGAAGCCAGAAGAATACTCCTGTTCATAAGGAGAAGCAATCTCTGTACACAGCCGAGGAATTTGCCAGTAGGTACGCCTACTCAGCCGGCGCTCGTGACAGAAATGCAAACGTGGTGTCATCTTCTGGCAGCAGCAAATCAACCTCCGCATCCCAGCATAGCTGCCAAGGGACGAAGGCTTCTGCTACTGAACATCACTCTTTGGCGGATATTGCCGTTGCTGCCGCTGCGTCCAAATCTTTGGCTCTACCTCTACCGGTCACACAACACAACACCAAAAGTAAGCATCATCATCCACCACCATCCCGCTCTACTTGCAGGACTTTCACACCCTTACCTACTACAACTGTAGCAGCGACTCCTTTGTCTCCATCAGACAGCATATTGAGCACAGGCTTCAGCGTGAGCAGCAACACCTAAGGTGAGCGGCCATTGACCCACCCTCGGGACACACCCACGCACCAACCATCTTCTACCTTCCCACCAAACCGTTCTCGGGCCCCCAAGAACACCTCCACCCACGATCTCCGCCTCGACAGCTTACACGACCTCAACTGGCTCAATGCCATGGAGCCTGAGCATCAGCCTCTTAGATGTCCACGTCATCTGGTCCGTGCTGACGCTCATGGTGGTGCTGCTGGTGTGCTACAGCCTGCATCATCATCTGCTCTCTGACTGATGTGAGGCTTGCTACAGCCTGCATCATCATCTGCTCTCTGACTGATGTGAGGACTTCTACAGCCTGCATCATCATCTGCTCTCTGGCTGATGTGAGGCCTGTTACAGCCTGCATCATCATCTGCTCTCTGGCTGATGTGAAGCCTGTTACAGTCCGATTTGAGGCTTGCTACAGCCTGCATCATCATCCGCTCTCTGGCTGATGTGAGGACTGCTACAGCCTGTATCATCATCCGCTCTCTGGCCGATTTGAG